AAAAAGAGGGAAAAAAAAAAGAGGGGGGGGGGGTAAATGTTAGCATTTAGTCTAGAGGACGGGCTGTTAAGAAAAGAATAAATGAGAATTCATTTTTGCATAGTTATATAACTGTCCCCCCCCCCCCCCCCCCCCCGATGGGTGGGGATTCATTGTCATTGTTGGGAAGGGGGGGGGGAGGTGTATGGGTGTTGTATTTCTCACAGGTAGTTCAAAGATCGAGAGGGGGAGGGGTGAGAAAGGGAGAGATATTTTCAGCCTACCCTCTAGACCACCCATAGAATCATAAAGCGGTCAAGGGCCTACCGCATCTTATTTGATGAGGAATTAAAAATGAAATGTCTTTAGGCCCTAATTGCCTCAATTCGCCCTACAAGAGTCTGCATGAATACAAACATGACGTTGTATTTGTTTGTTTTTTCCCCCCACCAGTCTCCTTTATGTAAAGTATCTTGGACTCGGAAAAGTTGGGCTGGACCGAGACACGACCACTATAATTATCTTTTCCGCCTTTGGACATCAAGCTTTTGCCCTTTTCGGTTGAGTGCTTCAACAAATAAGGAGGTCATGAACTTGCACTGAACTTATATAAGCTGTAATTTAAGCTTCGAGGCCAACTAGGCGGCGTGCCTAATAAATTTACTTTCAATGTTCTTTTGTCTGTGCCGTGAACAATAATGGACCCCAAGACACGACTCTGGGTATGACGTCACTCGTCTGTCCATCTGGACCACACCTTGGGTTAATTACAAAAATATTGTACGAAAGACAACACAAGAAACGTATATATTGGACATTTCGGACAAAGATCGACCCTTCTATGCCCGTAGACCTAAACATTTGGAGCTACTATCACGCGGATAATGCAACTCGGCAACACACAAACAAACATACACATGCACACACATGCACACACATGCACACACACACACACACACACACACACACACACACACACACACACACACACACACACACACACACACACACACACACACACACACACACACACAAACGCATGCATGTTGAAGTAGTGGAGACGTGCACCTCACATGAGAAGTAATCTGATACTAGAAATTTGTGATTTGAAAGGTAATCCTCACATTGCAGGTTTTGAAATGTCAGAAATGAAAAACGTGGGCGTTGACAAGAAAAGGAAAAATGGACTTCTGGCACACTTTACAAACAACGTCAAAGGCCATCCCCAGTCTGTGGGAGGAAAAATTTAACCAACAAGTGAGCAATAATACTGTAGGCCTATCATGTCATGTCAGAGTTGGTCGCTCCAAAAGTTACGAAGGTCTATTGGATGTACCCCCCCCCCCCCTTCCCCAAAAAGCAACAAAAAACACCCGAGGCAATGATACATCTGCAGGGAGATTTAATGGGGGGGGGGGGGGGAGAGACCCTTTTGTGTCGGATGCGATGCCAAAAGATACCCCCGGGAAGCATGGATAAGGATCTGTACGGACGGATCTGCAACTGATGCTGAGAAAAAGAGGAACGGAAGTGTACGTAGTTCCAAAAAAGGACGGAGCCAAGCAAAAGCAGTTCCAACTGGGTGGCATTGTACCAACTACAGGGCAAAGACGGAGGCTCTAACACATGCAGCAAACATCATCAGGGATGTGGTACACCCTCAAAGCCACGTAGTATTCTTAACAGATGCCATGTCAGTACTGCAGGAAATCGCTACCGGCAAACTACGTAGAAATACGAGTATTAATTGAGGTCATCCCGTGCCTGAGGATCGTTCTCCAGTGGATCCCATCGCAAAGCTGAAACAGGTGAAGAAGTTTAAATATTTTTCTTGACAGCACTATTTTTTCTAAAAACGGGCCCATAGACAAAGAAATAGAAATGCGAACTCAAAAGCTTTTAAAAAGCCAACGCCATCATCTACCCTATCGCACCCCCTTTTATCCCAAGCAAATATCTCCATGGACACAAAGAGACAGTTTATCACTTCAATATCCATACCAACATTATGCTACCAGTGCTTAAACTGGACATTAAGTAAAACCCATGAAAACAAAAACACTGCATGCGAGATTAATTAATGTCTCTGCAAAACCTTTTATATCACAAGACGAGACAGCTCTCGTGGCCTAGAGATTAAAGTGTTCGCCTCTCGTTCAAAAGTCCCGGGTTCGAATCCGGATAGCGACGGGGAAAAATGTTCTTCTCTAAAAATGTTTAAAGTGTCTCCTTTTATCTCCTTTCCTGCTCTCTAACAACGTTCTGTCGTCTGCTTTCGTCTCCACTTTCGTCTCCACTTTCTGCCCCCACCCCTCACCCCCTTTGCCCCCTCCTCTGGGCTCCTGACTCTTTCTGCAGCCTTTCTACTGCTACTCCCTGGCTCCTTCTTACTGCTATCTTTCAGCCACACCCCTGATCTTTTGGTTGGAAAGATCTACACCTAGCCTTCTTGGACAAGGGCGAAAAATCTCGGAGGTTCCGTGTGCAAGTTGCGCACGTTAAAGATCCCTTAAGGTGGTTCAAAATCGATAAGAGTAGGCTTCGGTCGCCACCTGGACAAAATTCAAAATGTCCTACCAACTGAAGATGTTTAATGTGTCCCGCGCGCTCGTATGACCTTATGCAGTTGCGAGAGACGTAAAACACTTCAATAGAAAAAGACGAGACAGGCAGAGAAGAAAGCAGTATAAGAGAAACTAGCAGTAGCACAGGGTCCTATCTGCGTTTCGTTCAATCACATAAATGTAAGCTCTTGTAAGTGTGGGTATATGTGTGAGTGTGTGTGAGTGTGGGGGGGGGGGGTGGTGCTTGTGTTTGTGTGTGTGTGTGTGTAGGCGAGGGGGGGGG